TTAAATTGACTTTAAGATATATAAATTAATTGAAATAATTGTGTTAAAAACACTCAAAATAATATTCCATTTTTAATTGACATACGCAAAAGATATATAAATTAATTGAAATAATTGTGTTAAAAATACTCAAAATAATATTCCATTTTTAATTGACATACGCAATTGTTAAGTTAGAAAGGTGACATGAATCTAACACATCAAAATGTTACAAAAATAATGACATATCAGTTGTATGTTTATTTTACATTGAAGTAATAATCAAAATGTGGTAACACAAGAAAAATTCTACATATGGACGCACGATTTTTTACTGTGTATAGTCTTGTACTTGTTATTCACCTTTTCAACTCAGTCTGTGAATTGCTTCATTTTAGATAATAAAAATATAAGAAAATGCAAGAAAAAAGTTAAGCCCAACGAATCTTTTTAATTTTTTAAACAACAAACATTATTATAATAATTAAGCACGTCGAAAACAAGATATCTCAAATTTATTACTAAGTTTTTTCATTTTATCTAAGATACCTGAAGAGGATCGTTAAAAACATAATCATACGCAAGCGAGAGAAAGGAAAGACGCTTGCTTCCCTAAATGTTGACAAATAGAAACAATTAAATTATAAAAATCATTTTTATAATAAAGATCATAAAATTTATCCTCGCACAAAGTTTATTAAGATGCTTACATTAAAACCAGTCTTCGCTGAAGGTCCTCGAAAGTATAAGTATTTTAATAAATTTTATGTAAAAATAAATTTTGACAGTCCTCTGACTGGATGTACTTATACAGTTGCAGAAAATTTATTACCTGCTAATGGAGTTGACCACTGAATATAGATATTAACGCGAACAAAATCGGAGTTTGTTAAATAAACGCAGTTTTATCGAACTCGCAAAATACTTTATTTTGTTGTCTCTGTCACCGCAGTTCCTCGAGGCTTCCAAACCCACATCAGTTTCCAAATCCTATTAGCGATTAGCTGGCATCGCAGTTTTCGAGCAGCTATAAAAACTTATCTGGCGTCAAGTCGTGATAATGAGCGGAACGGAAGTTTCAGTTAAAAGTATGTCATCATAACGTGTGAAAGATGATAATAATAATAGTTGCGTCAATGAAAGCGATTAAGTTTGTTAAGAACTTAATTGGTCATATCAACGAACGTCATTATCATCTCGGTGTGAATGTTAATGCGAGATATGTTAAATCGCTCACGATTTTTAATATATGAAAAGAAATAACGTCGGCAAAGTCGTAAATTGAGATTTATTATAATTCAGAGATAACGACAAAAATAGGAGCAAATAACATTACAGCATTTGTTTCTGAGAAGCGTAAAAATATCGTTGCATTAAGAAACGGGGTCTGATGCAAGCCTCTGTCGGATATTTATCTTTTTCTTTTTAACCATGACTCGTATAATGCCGCTAAAATGTTCACGACTACAATTGGACATTCTTTAAATATTTTTGATGAAAATACAAAAAAGACCAAAAGATTACATTAATGTCTGTTTCTTCCAAATATAAATTAACATCAATTTCGGTTCAACTCATTCTTCATCTTTTTCTAATTTTTAGAACTAGAAAAAAACAGATAAAGTTGAGCCGAAATTGAGATTAATCTACATTAGCGAAAACAAGCATAAATATATTTCATGTATTAGCACATTTTTATTGTTTGACTATTCCCTTTCGTAAATAATATCCGAATCCGAAACACATGATGTTCTTTTGATTTTACGATTCATTATGTAATATTTAAAGACCACTCTACATTGTTAGATATCAAACAAGCAATGATAACCGAATTTCAAGTTAAATAACATTTTGTTATTTTTAACTTCTATGTGTGTCAAAATGTAAATCAATCATATTGTGCATTTAGTAAATAATAAACTAAATTTGAGTCAAATTTAATACATTTTCTTCAGTTTAATTGTTTAATTCTATTGTTTCAGTCAAATAAACGATATAATGGATAGAAGCATTAGCGATTTATAGAAATAATTAAAAATAACTCTAATTGGGTATAATTTGACATTACGAATTTTACGATATACAACGTGTACATTTGTGATGAAAATATAACTAAGAAGTCCAAATAAATGTTTAATTTAAATTCAATAATTCGAACATAAAACATCCAATGAACATTTGTTATATTAGACAGTCTGAGAAGTTTATTAACCCTGATTGGTATTCGCGGGTCCGGTAGATCCAACCTTTTTTTAATTACGTTGTGAAAAATTATTTATAACAAATTTCTGATAAACGTTATAACAAATGTTACACTATTCATTATAAATTTGTTTAACAAATGTTTTTCATAAATCTTAAATAATTTTGAGTTACACGATTTTATTCTTCAGATTTTGACTTTCAAAATGAAAAAAAAAACATCCAATCACACATTGACTACGCAAACATTAATTTAAAATACATAGGACCCGTAAATACCAGTTCAGGAAATTTCGGAGTGAATACCAATTGAGATGAAAATTATATCCTGTAAGACAGGTTCCAGGAAGATTTTAAGAGATAATATCGCCAAGTGTACGGTCCTGGAAGCAGTATATGTGTACTGTGTAGTCGAAGGCGACGTTCCAATCGCGCATGTGAACGAGGAGCCGCGCGGGCGCGTGTGCTCCGTCTCGCCTCGATTCTCTCGGATCTTTTTTTCCCCGGTCGACGTCGTTGATCCAGACAATATCCTCATTCGTCGTCGTTGGCCTAGCCTATCATTTTATTGCACGCGTCCAAAACTACACGCCGCGACTTTACGCGTGAGCAAGGCGCATGAGTTTACCATGTGCGGGCTTTGACCGTTGCGGTTTTCGTTTCGCTGTGCATTACATTGACCCGACCGGTGGTGTCTACCGCCGACGCACATTGCAGCAAACGTTTCCGGCTTCCGTAGGCACGTTAACTTCGGCACGTGTGCATGCCGTTGGTGCGTGCATGCGTTATAGTACAACGCGACGCACGCGCGACGGAGCCGACCGACCGACCGACCGACGGCGACGTCGACGACGAGGTGACGTCGGGAAGTCGCGTTGGCGGATTTTCGGAGCTCGAAACGAATCGCGTCGGACCAAGTGCGTCGTGCGCGAAGCGCATCTTCACCGATACCAGATTCTCTCTCGTCGTGGATAAATTTCTTCGCACAACCGACCGAGGTATCTGGACCACCCCGCGTAACAATCGATACCGTGTCGCTCGATTTCCATGACCTTACCGGGAAATTGAGGTAGCACGCCTAGGGTTATTAGCCGTACCTTTTTAAGAGTATATACATGTACTCTTTTTAAGGTCGTAAAACTTCTGGTCATTAGTTAAAATTTTACATTTATAAAATTATATTAATAAGAATTGTTACAATTAATTGTGTGTTTTAGAAATTTTATTTTATTAAATATTTACATTTAACGTATAAAAAATTACATCCCTTTTTTCTGCCTTCAGATCATTGTCTTTTTTTAAAAAGTGTACACATGACTCTTTCTTGTGATTCAGATATGGTAACCCTAAGCATGCCAAAAATATCGAGCCGCGTTCGCTCAGGGCTCTTTCTTGGATTTATCGCTCTGCAGTCTACACGCGTATCCGTGTCTCCGATTTCGTGGAGATATATGTTTAATTTCGTAACGCTAAACATCGTGCTTTAATTGAAAACCTTATTGCAACAATGGACTAACCTACAACGTAGCCAAATTTAATTTCTTCTCGTAATATTGTTCATTTATGATCTGCAATTTGTAAACTCTTTGGACATGTGCCAAAATATGAGACTTTTCATGGCAATATACAAATAAATGTATTTTTCCATCACATTAATTTTAGAATTTATTTTCTTCATTTTTACAACATATGGGTTTTCGTCCATTATTGCCGTAAGATCTTCAATTATTATAGGAGAAGATAAATTTTCAAAAATATCTTTCAATGCTTTTAATTATGTTTAGAATACCGTGTAATGTGTACTTTTTTCATTTATAATATAATGTGCAGAAGTTGAACCTACAATTTTAATAAATCACCATGCGAATTTAACATCATATTCGAAATTTTAAAAAGCAGAGAATAGTATGTCCAAAATTATTAGCTTTAATATATTGTATTATATCATTTTAATCAAGGAAATAAGTCGGATCAAAGTTTCTTATCGTGATTATTTAAAGGCTAATAGAACAAAATATGTCTCTTCGTCGAAATCCAGATTAGAATAAAAGCTTGCTTCATAATAATGTGTAAATAAAATTCATATTTCTGCAAAATAAAAGTTGTTTAAACATCAAAGATTTATTTCATTTTATATGCAAATCTCAACCTTTTTAAATTAATTTCTATACAACTAATTTAAATAAAATTTAATTTTTATAAAGTTATCCACGATCTCAGTATTTTGAAAATTTTTCTTAGTAAAGTTTTCAAACTTATATACATTCATCTATCTTTGGTGAATGAGAATAAGAATTTATTGACATTGTGAGTACAATAAACTGAACAATAATAAGCAATAGTTAAGCTAAAAAAATAACTGCTGTAAATTAAAGAGAGATATTTGAGCTAATTTTCAATTGAGATTGTTGATGTATAATAATTCATTGCAGAAACTGGAACTTGCATCATGGAGAACCAAAATTTTCGGTGTCGCGCCTGACTAATACTAATGCTATATCCCTCGAAAAACTATCGGGAACAATTAATGCAGAGGGAACAACGCATACTTTTCTCACGTGCATTATTCCACCGGGTGTAATAATGGTAAAATTGGAGACTGCATCGCGATTTTTACACAAGTGTATATGAGTCACGCAACGTATATACGGTGTTGATACTGACGAACGGATATCGTTTAAAGGTTCTGCTGAAAATCTCAATCAACAAAGACGCGTTAATCACGCACGATTTCACCGTAAGTAGAAATCACGTCTTCTGTGTAGCGTACATCAATTCTAAGAAAGTCAGTAGCGTTTTCGAGTGAACGTTATTTTGAAGAAATCACATTTCACGAAAACTTTTGAATATATGCTGGAAAGAACGTATGCTGGATATTTTCAATCCAATATCGATATATGTATTTTAATTTAGGATTAAATTAAAATTCAAATTTTCTGGATATTAAAATAACTACCAAGATATTACTAAGAATAAGTTAAATAAATATTACCTTATCAATAATAAAAAATGAAATAATTTAATTTCATAAAAAATCGTCAAAATCGTCACAACTAAAAAGGATGGTTAAAAAAATTGTCAAAATTGTAATAACTAAAGAGAGTAATTTTTTTTAAAGATTGTGAAATAAAAATGATAAAAATGATTTGATTTTTTGTTATGGAATATATTATTTTTTCGATTTATTTATCAATATTATTCGATTATCAATATATTTCTGTTAAGTTAAAAAATAATTTTTTCCTTTTTCTAAGAAACTTCATTATTTTATGGTACCTTTGAAGTAAAGAGAGCGATATAGTAATTTTTAAAACAACAAACTTTCTTTAGATTATATCGAATTTTATTTGTGTAGCGTTTTGTCAATTTTTTTAAATTTGATTCATATTGTTTTATATAAACATAAAAACGATTACAAATTTGATAACCATTGGATGATTCATTGACATACTTATATTCTGTTTCGTGAGAACCAAGTTTATATGATCCCGAAATTCGATCGTTTGGATCCAAAACGCTACAGGCTCTTATCGTTTGTATATGATCTTATCTCTTGATATCATTAATTGATATTTTCATTGTTGGCATCGCTCGTTGATACTTTCCAGCACGACCATGCATCCGATCATAATATTACTGTCGACATTGGTGGCCTTCATCGCCGCAGAGAGCATTTTAATGACAGAGGTCTTTGTCATTCCCATCAGACCCGAGATTTTTGATTGGAATACAGATGGTAAAAGACATATATTTAATTTATTCTAATTTTTTTTTATAAAAAGTATTTTACTATAATAGTAATAAGGCTCAATAAACAGAAAGAGAAAGGGCTATGAGTCTAAGAAAGTACTTTACTGTTCCCGGTATCGTAACTATAATATGTATATCGAACCTCACTATTAATAAACATCTTAAGAGATGAAAGAAAAAAGCAAAGAAAAAAGCGAAGAAAAAAAATAAAAGAAAATTGTATTGTGTTCTATTCTCATATGTACAAAATTATTATGAAATTAAGATGAAAGATAAAATAATTAAAAAGATTTTCTCCGATTTTATTTCCTAGATTTTCTGTATGTTATATTTTATTACAACTCGGAGTACTATTTCTATAAAAAAATATTTTCATGAAATTAAATTTTTTTAAAGTCATAAAAGACAATTATACAAATTTTATTAGATATTTACGATTCAGTGCTAAGTAATTATTTTGGAACGAAGCTTATTTAAAATAAGGAATAATGTCAGGCAGCTATAATTATCCTACGTTGATACCCGTTAACCCACAATACGAAATTAAACTATGTCTTCATACGTCATCCGTAACACGACGCGAATAGCAATTACTTGTTGAACTGTCGTAAACGTTCCGCTGACCTTACAGCCAATATTGTCGCATACCACTGTACTTTCTAATTTGACGCCTCTAAACAATTTTCGAATGATACGAGAAACGAATTGTTAAAATTATCCTGCCTCATATACCTATAATATATTGTATTTGTCAGATTAGATGAGATTTTCCAGATTTATTATTATTTCTAGTACAGTAGAAATATTCGAAAGCATTCGACAACCATCAATTTGATGAACGGAAGCCACCATTCTTTCATAAAAATAAATTTTCAAACATTTATTATAACTATTGTAACAACTGATATTATCATTATTATCATACAATAAAATTCTTTTTTCTGAAAAAAAAAATACAAATTTCCATTCATCGAGATAATCGAACTCTTCAAAATATTCATATTGTACTAGAAATAGTAAATACATTCTGTTGATAAATCTTTGGACATTTAACTTTTTAAAAAAGTATTTTCGAACATAAGTTTATATGAACTTTTTTTATTTATTCGACTTCTTTATCACTAGTTGCGTTCAGCAGAGAAAATCAATCAGCGCTTAGTGATTTCTTGATTTCCACTGTATAAGTTTGGCCCCGATCTTTACGAACATCGTGTATAACTTTTTATTTTATTTTTCACCGTTTTTCCTTTTTTTTATCAACATTAAAAACTGCATATCTCGTTAATTTTATTTTGTCTGCCATTTTAGTCTTATTTTTTAAGCCTTTATTATATATAGACATTTTTATTCCTAATTTTTCACTTTTCTCTTTTGCAATTTTTAAAAAAATTTTATTAAAATATTTATATTCACTTTTTATTTCATAATTTTTCTATTATCTTTTAAATACAATATATTTTATATATTTCTATGCATTTATTATTATGTACTTTTTTCTGTATTTCTTATAAATAATTGTTCTGTTATTTTCTATCACGGATATTTATATGTGATTTTATTTCAGGACATTCCGATCAATTTTCGTATCAACCGTCCTTGCTAAACGCCCCCGATCTCCCGTCATGGATACATTACACCTACAGTAAGAAGGATCATCACGGCTTTTTATACGGCGTCGCACCCAAAGATCAAAAGTATTTTCAGGTGATACACAATCATTGTACCATCAGTTTACAACTGACAATACTTAACTGAGATAATTTTAGCTGGAGATCGTGGGGTTGAACAAACATACCTACGAAACCCGTTACAAAGTGCTTGATATGAACGTACTTGAAAGAGAAAATCTGACAAAGTACGAAGTACACCTAAAAATCGACAATCTCAACGTTGAGGATATGTTCAATCAAAATCGCACTCAAAAGCTCCTCGATATATTCAGGTTGGTTGCGTAAATTTCTTATAATTTACTATCTCGTAGTTACAGCGTTCTTATCGATAATGTATGTACGTCAGTCTGTCATTTCCTTTCAAAACGTATCAAAAGGGGAATTTTTCGATATAATATATGTAACAGATTTCTCAGAAACCAAATTAAATTTAACTTCATAAAGTAAAAAAATAGAGGAAACTGATGATAACCATCTGCTTTAAAATAAAAAAATTTATTATGGTGAAATCGATTAGTTTTGTTTCTCAGAAACTATATCGCTAATTAATGGTAATTAGATAATAAATGATACCGATAATAAACGCATTGAAATTTAACTGCAGGAAAAAGCTATGGAAAGGCGCTGCGGACTTATACGTCACTTTTTTGGCGTCTGCGATCGAGCTCGGAGCTCGTTTACCCCTGAAGCCCAGCGAAGGTGAAGGGTGAGTCATATTTCTAAATTGTCCTCTATCCAATTTAATTTAATTCTTATTGTTAGATCCGAAAAAGTGAAATTCACTGTGAGACTTAGAATGACTAAGATTCCAACTATGACTTTTGCCTATTTCGATTTATAGATTGTTTCGAGCGTTCCATCAACTATCAAATTATACAAGCAAATAACATTCTCAAACAATGACTGCGTTAAAAGTAAAAAAATAGCAAAAGAAACTAAGGGCAAGACCCAAACGTTATATAAAGAATCTTACAACAGTTGCAAAGCTATCTTTTCTGCTAAACGCAATCAATCATAAGCTGTGTATATAAAACATATCATTAAAATAATAATATACGTACATTTTATTTTTACATATGATGCGTATTAATAAATATTTTCACGTTTCAATCACCTAACGTGACGAAGAGTATTGTACGAAGCACCTTGAATCGCAATTAACGATTGTCATCGATTACATCATCGCGATTAAACGCTGTTTCTCTCGTGGATTCTTATCGTGACGTAATCTGTTAATTGATAAATATCACTTTTTCGCGTAAAGATGCGATGATTTCCCATGGAATCCGCGATTGAATGACGGCACCGTTACTCACGCATTTCCTGGAATAAGCCTTCGATTACGTAGAACGAACCGATGGACTTTCCATTGAATGTTTGTAATCGTTACAGTGCACAGTTCGTTGTGACTCCCTTAAGATTCTGATTCTATGGATCAACGATCACAATTTATCGCGGTACTCCTACACGGTATTCCCGCAGGCACGTAAACGAGCGATAACGTGATTTATCTTTTCGCTTTCATGTCTATCATGCTCATTGCAGGAAAACACTTGCGTTTCTAAAATGAAGTGGATTTTCTATAATCGACGATTACCACACATTATCGATACAGACTAATATTTTTAATGACGAGAAGATTCAGGGCGATGATAAGCGAGAAAAATATGGAATATTACGAGCGAACAGTTGTAACGGATGTAATTTGCAAAAAACATAAACTCAAACTATATGTAACTAATGTAATATTTTTAAATGCGCGTGTTTATAATTTAACTGTTTCCTACAGTTGGAATTGATATAATATGCCTTGTGGTAATAGTCTAAATATTCAAATCAGTATATAATTATATGCAAGTACATATATAGTGTATATTAGTAATTCAAGATTGAATTATTTAAAGCAATGAAGACCCAGCTTTGACCGTAATAGGTATTTTTTAATTTCTAGTATTGATTGTGTTTCTCACATATGCGGTCTAAAATGAAAGATTCTTAATATTGTTTACATTACGTCGCCTGAAAGAAAGACGTTGTTTCCTTATTGTACCGATTATTGTGAAAAATATTATTAAAGCCTCGGTGGTCTAATGGCTTCGGACGCTCGTACGGAATACAAGAGATCCGGGTTCAAGTCCCGGCCGAAGTAATATTTTTCGCAATAAATTTATTAACGGTTTCAACATATTAACATCTTTATAATATGATGCTTGATGATAGCATTAAATTATTAAATTGCTTGTCAATTTAATTTGCGATTACTAGAGTAATTTAAAAAAAAAAAAAAATTGCTAAATTTATAGAAAATTTCCAGAAAAACAATTCGGCGCGCAGTTTGAAAAGACTACAATATAGTATATAAGCAAGTACATATACGAGTATAGTGTATATTATTAATTCAAGATTGAATTATTTAAAGCAATAAAGATCCAGCTTCGACCGTAATAGGCATTTTTTAATTTCTAGTATATAATTATAATTAACAAATTATATTTTTAGACTCTCCCTCTAATTAATAATTCTTACAAATAAGTGCTTCTAATTAATATAAAAATTCTTTGATTCACGGAAAGAACAAAAGAATTTTGCTGAAGTATCTAGAAATTATCTTTAAAAGGCGCTATAGGAATACGCGCTCCTCGTAAAAAAAAAAACTGTTGTGCCAAATTAAAAAGTAAACTTCAAGAGTAGTACTATCTTTAATTATACAATAAAACCTAATTGTGCTATATATCTTTTGTATTTTCATTGAAAGGTCTTTATTTAATCCAAATATGATAGTAACTTTAATTCTTTAAAAAATTATTGTGTCACAAAATTGCGTTACTTCATTCAACTCAGTCTAAAAATTTAGATACAGACCAGAAAATGATTTTGTTGAACCATCAAAATAATTATGTAAGACGCTCAAGCATTGAGCAATGCTGTATAAAGTTTTGACGTTCTGACAATTAGTTCGTACTTCCTGTGTAATTATTTTGATGGTCAGCAAAATTATTTTCAGATCTGTATCTAGCTTTAGGTATGTCAGCAAAACCGTCATTTCCATGTATTATATTTGATTAAATTAACTATATTATATATAGTGGCCCCCCCCTCTTGACATAATGCTTTATGATAATAGTCCTCCAAGTTCTCAAATTAGTGTATGATTAATGATTATAATAAACAAATTATATTTTTAAAATCTCCATAGATTCCTTCAGTTAATAAAAATTCTTTGATCAATATTCTGCCGATTAAATTGAATTGAGGATAAGATATTTCATCTTCGATAGTTTATAAGAAATTGGATCGCAAAGAATTTAATTATGAAATCTCAGTAGGTAGAATCTTGGGACTGGTATTCTACCCATATTTTACGCTCATTCTTGTGGAGGAAAACGATCTCATGCACGCGGAATGATGAGACAAGTCATTTGCGGTGTGGCTGTTATTGAAGCGCAGCGTAGCGTAGGCTGGTTTCCTTCCGGTGCAAGAATATGTGACATAAAAACAACGTATTTATACGCGACGGCGGCATGTCGCATCAAAAGAAATTCAAATGTTACGAAACCATTGTTGCATCAACATAATACAGGATGTGACGCGGGATATCAGAGCGAAAAAGAAGGAAAGAGATCCTGCACTGCAATTTCCGATGTAGATTTATGTTTGGGTAAATATATTGGGGCAGGACAAGTAATAATAATTTGTTTCGTAACGAGACATCGATTTATTGTGAAGCAGTTCAAAGTCATGCTTAAGCGTACTTTCCGGCAACGAGATTGGAAACAATGGTTTTTATCACAGAGAACAAGATTAATTAATAATATTGAATAAGTGTGTTTTGCTGTTTTAATGTCGACAGATTATATATTCGTTGCTCTCGATTTTCTGATTCATCACATGTGATTCATTGCATGCGATTGAAATAAAATCAAATCGTTCATTATTACACGACATGAGTCAACTTTTTTTACAAATCAGCTATTCTTCGGAAAAGATATCCTTGCTTCGAAAGAGTTTCATGTTAAATATAAAAATAACATACATACATGACTTGTAGATATGTATAGCATGACTAAGATTATCCAGTGTTTTATTCATAGCAAATTGCATAAAATAAGTCATTTGAGAATAAAAAAAATTGCGAGAATTTCTCTTTTTCTATTTATCTATTTAATCTTCTTCTTCATGACGTATATCTTGTGACGTATACTTTGCTTTTTACGCAATGATTGACACAATCGTCCGGAAGCAAACTTTTGTTTCTCGCCTGCTGAAACTTCGCAGCGAGATCGCATCTGTAACGCGACTGCGTTCTCGTTTCACCAGCTATAGCGTATCACGTTTGTCACCGTTATGCCCGTGTCACACTACACGCAAAAAAATTTTGCTGCTCCAGCTAAAACTATCGCTGTTTTTCGTATCTGATAGAAAATTATTGGTCTGTTTTCTGTTCCTGCACTAGACTGCACTAGAAGTCTCTTTCTCGCTTTCGACAAATATCAAATACATATCAATTTCACTTTAAGTTCCAAAAGTGTACACTGGTTCAGCCACAGAAAACAGACCTTATGTATCACACGCATAGAATTTATAACACAAATCTAAATTCTAAAGGCCTTGGCACATAGAAAAACTTAAGACAAGACTTAAGCAGTAACGAAATCAACATGTTGGATTCGCTATTGCTTACGTATGGTTTTGTGATTGGTCGATTCGTTTACTGCTTAAGTCTTACGCCTTAAGTTTTTTTATGTGCCATGGCCTGAACTCTGTCATCTATATGATTAGATACAATTAGATTGTAATCCAATATCGCAGTACTTGCTAGAAATTTATCTATTTTAGCTCATTTTTCGTACTTAGATAATTTTCACTATAACTGTAAGATTATTTTTTTGAGTGTACGCATTGGAGACTGAGGATTGAGAATTGAGGATTAGAATTCAGCCAATTACAACGAAACGGATTAAAATTAAAACTACCTAATTGGTCGAATTCTAATCCTTAATTCGCAATCTTCAATCTCCAATGCGTAGTGTGACACGGGCATTATGGTGCTATTGTCGAAAAAACGTGATGAAACCGCAATAATAATAGTCATAAAATTATAAGTCGTTCCTAAAATTAATAGTTACGATTCTAATATTACTGCGCGTTCGACGAATTTGGATCATTGTGGAGTTACCTTTTATGTCTCGACGTAACACCTACGTATTTTTCACGTTAATACGTGAATCACCACGTATTGTCATCGCACTTTGTATTCAACGTCGAAGGCTTAAATGTATGATCAAGCAAAAGGTCGAAATTGTTACATTTAAAATGAGACGAATGGAGGCGATTAATCTCACAACGAGATTTCTAATTCGAAAAGTAAGTTAAACCAAGATTAAAGTTAATTTACATTGGAAAAACAAACATAAGGTCCGGTTCCACCAATGTAAGATTAACTTTAATCTCGGTTTAATTTACTCTTTATCTTTTTCTAATTATAAAACTACGAATTCTTAGAATTAGAAAAAGATAAACAGTAAATTAAAGCTTAAGTACATAATGATTGATACCGTAAAGACATCAGAAATACACTCGACTTCGCGATAATTCAGTTAAATAGACAGAAGGAATAAAACGAACACATCTGAACTTTTCAGGGAAGAATTCTTGTCCAGCCTAAGTTTTTTATTCTTAAGATTTCTCGGAAGTTATTCGACACTGAGAGTCATATCATAATCGCGCAACGGAGCGAAAATTCGAAATCGCGCCCACGATCGCAAGACGAGAGAGAGCGACAATTAATCTTTCTCGCGACTAAAATAAATCGATTACACGCCGACCGATCGTACGTACACTGTATATTGTCTAGTTGTCACTTTCAGACTTATTGCGTCGCACATGAAGTACGATGACACCAACAGTTTGCTAACGGCAATTATTCCCAACGTAAATGTGATGTTGTCGTCACGCTCTCGGAACACTTAACTGACTGACTGGCGGGGACTTGTTTCCACGGATGATAAGGCTGCGCCTTAGGAGCCACTTCGACCTTAGATACGTATCAGTGCACCATATCACTGCGTATCAGTGAAAGCCGCAAGTTCGCAAATCGCGAAATCGTTGGAGTTTGATTGGGCGCCACAACATTGGACCCTACGGATACTGGGTTTTGTCTAATCGACTCTGGATTATCAACGTGAATTCTTGAGTATCCGAATGGCATAACATATTCATCGCAAATGAAATTATGATCCGAATATTAGTTGGAGATGTAATTTCAAAATTTAAAAAGATAATTTAAATTTTTATATAAAACACAGTATGTGTTTCTCATCAATTCGCAGATATGAAAAAAACAACTTTTTTCGAACAGGAAAGAAGTTGGGTAAATAAAAGTTAATTTTACGTTTCCTGTATAGGTGTACTGACTGGTCATGCTGAACTAATATCACACATATATTACTTGAAGCATACCATAATGATTCGAAGGTTATTTGATCGATGGATAGTATTTGTAAAAGATATTGAATTTATAAATACGCGAGCTATATGTATATAGGTTGTAGGTTGTCATTTGCACGTAAGGAGACTCAATATCGTGAAGTAATTATATAATTCTGGGTCACAAACAGAAATTTGAAATCAATAGAATATATTAAATGCAATTACAGTTAAAATTTTGCTCAGCAACGCGTAATAATTATCAAAAATGCGAGAGGTTAAAAATGTATTACATATATTTTTAACAAAATAAAAAATAGACACATTAGAGATTTTTCTATATTACATTTGAAAGTAATACAGTAAATTTGGCGAATCTGGATTAAAAATTATTTCATTAAGTAGATATTTTTTTAAAATAATTAAGATAAGACAATTTTCATTTAAATTACAAAATTGTATTATTATAAATATAAATATTGATCTTATTGAACTGAATTTTCCCTTTACAACTTTTCAATCAGATGCGTACTTTCCGAGGTATTCGCATCGATAGATTAAAACGGACCACCTTGTATATGCATATATATAAAATTTATTTTTACGGAAAGTATAAATTTCCAATTTTAGTCTTTTAATTGTTGTAGAGACTACAAACCTGATACACTCTCAAATCTTTGCAGAACCTAAATCATTATTACATTAAAAAGATGTCAAAATGTTAGTAAAAAAGTCACTTTTCAATTAACCCTTACCGTACCATCTACAATTTGGTGCCTCATCCATACCATCAAGGATCACTTCAAATCTCTTCGTCTTTTCGCCTCTTCAAAATAATTTAAAAAATCTCTAAAAATTTACCAACATACTTTCAACTTTCTAGAATAAATATTGACTCTTTATTTTGGAAAATAATAAAATGTAGTATAATTTATAATTACCGAAAGACTCAAAGAAACTTGCACGAACAGGAATCGCTCGGTCACTAGTTACCCATATTAGTACGGTAAGGGTTAATAATGATTTGTTTTTATGTTATTCTGACGTTTCCGCGACTTGCTGTTCTGTTTGGGAAGTGTCATAAGATATAATCTGTGCAAACAGAATTATAATTCAAGCGCGACTGATGAAAAATAATTGTTCTCTAAAGAATTAAAGTATAGCGGTACTGAGAGATATAGAGATCTTGTTTGAAATATAAAACATTTGCGTTAGAAAGAAAGGCAATTAATAATAGCCTTCCGAATGCGATAACGACATTGACCTGTATCGAGGGTACGGTGTCAACAATTTACTAGACAATCATTTTCCGCGTTTATTGTTAATGCACGCTCGTATGGGCAAAAGTCCCACGCGCGCTACTTAAAAGAATCCTTGACGGGAATGACGCAAATACCGTGCGGCATGGATATCACGATATGATCCGCCTGATAGTCGAGTACAGGTTTTCTTCGTAATGTCGCGAGTGATGGCTCTTTGACACCGATGAATCTTCCTTGATCCTTGATCCTCAGCGTACATCGATGTATTTTATATCTCATTGCAAATTATACTTCTCTGATATAATTTTCTCTTTGTCAAAAAGAAATATCCTTTTATTCAGAGTTGTCGTGAGACTGGGTAGTACCGTACCATTCTCGCAGGAATTGAACGAATTGCAAGAGGAAGTCAAACCGTTATGGAAAATGCCGTCATGCCCCAGAGACTTCAAAAGGACCAGCGTAGAGATACTCTTCCGAGAGGCTGAGTTCAGATTGGATTGGTGTTCCTTCAGATTAGTAAGTTATGATGGATGCTATATGCGAAACTTCATTTATTGTGATTAACATTGCATGTTCGAGAGGAATCTCTTTCATAAGACCGCAGCACAGACTTTTGCATAACGCATAGTGCATAAGCGAATCAGCTAATCAGAATCTTTCCTTTCCTCCCATTACATGGAAAAGAAGAATTTCAATTGGTTGATTCCTTTATGCACTATGCATTATGCAAGAGTCTGTGCTGCGGCCTTTATATTTTCGACATGAAAATTCATTGCCTACTTTGCTGTTTGTAATGTTCACTCACTTCACTATTTATCTTCCACAAAATTATGCAAACATAATTGTAACGATTCCTATAGTATTATAGTATTTTGTTGAATAAAATACGATTTATCAATTTCTCCATCATGTCACAATTTTAATAAAAATAACGTTAAAGAGATAAATAATAATGATTTGAGGGTCTTTATAATATTGTAATATCAGCAGCAATTTTTTTAAAATTTTGTTAAAGCTATGTGAAAATATCAATCTTTATTTTTAAAGTGCACTTTGTTTCGTTTCGATATGATTTTTTATTTTCGAGATATAGCAATTAAAATATCAATTTTTATTTTTAAAGTGCACTTTGTTTCGTTTCGATATGATTTTTTATTTTCGAGATATAGCAATTTGAAAATATTATATTGTGCATTTTATTGTTAATTTCATATTGCTTTTTTATTTAATATGATCCGATTATGTAAGTATATATTATGTAAGCAAAAAACATTTGCTTTTCACGTAATGCAGTATTAAAATGAAATAAAACGCCTTTTCTATGTATTATACAGGAAAAGAGTTATTTTCAAATTGCTCTTTTCCTATACGTAATATATGAAAAAAGCGTATTATTCTAAATTTAGACAAAAATTTGCTGCCAGTGTTGCTACATTATGAAAACCTTCAACGCATCTTCGACACTATTTTTTCCAAAATTATGACGCGATAACCAAATTTAAAAAACAGATTCGTGTTCACAGCAGGTAAAAATACAATCCAAACACGTCATTGTATATTTCACTCAACCGTGTCGTCATCACATATTTCTTGCGTATTGTCAGTCGTTCTTAATTTACATTTACGGTTATTTCCGCAGTCTCATCTCTCAATCGATCAATTTCCATATTCAATTTTACGTAAAATGTCAGTGGCGCAAATCACGTGCTACCTCTTTGTGATGTCTCATTATCCAATACTGTCCTCGTCGTAATAAAAATAGTTGTAATAAAAAGACAATTTTTACAGCTAGAGGAAGATCAACAGAGTCTGCAGCATGAGAGTGCCCGTAGGGGCCCCAGCGCGAATGTCGTGGATCTGCCCTCTTCCGGCATCTCCGAGCACACAGAGTGGCGATGGGCACGTTCGACGAAAGCTAGCATACCCACTAGAAGTTATTTCAAGGAAATCGCTACCACGATTTTCGTACCAGTTATACTGCTTCTCGTGCTGGGCGCCTTACTTAGCACCGCTTTCTGTCTACATCACGAGAAAATGTAAGCACTTTGATACACCTCAATGGAAAAAAATCAGTCAAAGCTGCTTTAAAATGATGATCGTTTGTATGCTTTAAAATGATGATCGTTTGATAGAAAAATTATTTTTATCAACTTGATTTCTATATTTCTACCTTGCATTAGAACTAGAATATTTATTTTTTATGTATTTCTACTTCTTTTTTTTACTTACCTCTACTTCCTTTTTTGTTTACTTATATCTATTTTTTATATCTCTGATAGATATCAGTCGACTTTTTTTTATGCATTGACGACACGCATAAGAAATCGCGATACGAGATTCTGTGCTGTGGCTATAAGAATGTACGAGATAAAATACGCAAGTCTTGTGGGCTAGCTAAACAAAATTATTGTAAATTGTTTTAGGGAGATCAACAGAAGTAAAAATAATATATTAATGATAATAGCACAAAATGTCAACAAATAAGTCTGTATATGGCAATAAATTTAAACAAAGGAAAACATATACACTAAATAATGTATTAATAAATTTTTGAATAAATCCAAAAGTATAGAATAAATTTTAAAATGATGTATAACTAAATTTTACAATGGATTAAAAACAACAGGTGACATATTGTACATTTTTGCTGTTAATACATAAATATCGTGATATAAAGTGAAATGTGAAAAATATATATCACATTGACAAAGAAAAAAAAAGCCTGTCAAAAAACACACGTGTCACAAAGTGGCAATTCACAAAAGACCAAGAGAATATGCAAGAAATTCACGCGAGTGAATTTATAACTCTAGCTTCAGTGCACGTGAACGGAAGTATTATCCAATTTACGATATATGTAATTACGCTAGTAATTATATTGAATGAAGAGCAAGTAGTTATTATTGAAAACACAGTTTTATATACAAAATAGCTGATCATTATCGAAGAATATTTTAATAACAGATTCAAAGCTGGTTTTTGTTGAGCAAACCTTTGGCAAGAAGCCTAATTAAGAAGAATATATGTTTAATTACCAGAACGTTTAATATTAAAGGCTATTTCAATATTTTGTAGGATTAAGAACCGAACATTTTGTCGTATACACTATCACGTTCCAGTTTCTTTTTCTTGCAGCCCGAGGCAATAAAAGCAAACGTTCAGGGTCGGTTAATTTGCGACTGATGAGTCGCAAAGAGGCGGCACTATGTTTCGAGAAACATGCAGTAAAAAGTATTAAAATTACATAGTCATCGGAATAGTGTAATTTACATACGTGACATAAACACCAATTGCAGGCAAAATATAAACGTAGGATCAGGATTCTTGTATGTGCGATATAATCGATCCAATTATGATCTTATTATAGACTTTATGTGCGTCACTATGCTTATATTACATACATACTATTTAGCACGTATACATATTTAAAACAAAATATGACTATTTCAGCTCGTTAAACATCAAATTTATTTAGGTCCGAACCCATTAATGATTAAACTTAAAATAATGCACTGGCAGAACAATTTATCATGTCATTCATAATAATTAATACAAGGTATTTGCAAAAATTTATATACTTAATCCTTAGTACACACGATTGAATTATTTATATCCTGCGCATTTTTCTTTGAAATATCAGAAGCACTTAGCTAAATGAAAGTCTTTATCCTTTCCTTTTTTTAACACACACAACTATATAAATAAATTATAAAGATGTTAAAAATTACTTTAAACATGTTAAAAATTACTAATACAAAAAATTAATTTCCAATCATCATCAATCGTTTCAATTTTCCATGAACTATCGTACACGCGCGCGCAGTACAACTATCTGCTTTTTAAACCATTTAGAGTAAATTTCACTCTGAAACATCATTTTTCAAGACTGACTCAATTTTAACTCTTTACGTTAGATTCCATTCTAAATATAGAAAATATTATATTCTGTCGGTAGATTCTAATATTCCCGAGAGAACAGTAATTGTCTTTTAATGACTTCCGGTAATGTTTAATTAGTTGGCTGTCAATAACATCGGTAATGTTCTGCGCTGATGTCTCTCGCAGGAAACGGAAAAGAGAAAGAGATAAAGAAAGAGAAAACAAGAAAAAAACGCACGTAAGAGAAACGAAAAGAACACGAATGAATAGAGAAAAGAAGAAAAGAAAACGCAAATGAAATAATAACAAGAGAGTACAATAAAAAATGATAATAAAAAAAAGAAAAAATCGATTGATCAATATATCTTTTAAATCTAATTAATTCTCAATATTCTCGGCAACATTATTTAATAACACCGAGATTGTACTAATGACACATCGTATTTCGCTTAGAATTTAATAAAAGGAATTATCAATATAAATTTTGAATCTATTTTGAATCTACAATTTATTAGTGACACTTTCCAGGTAGAAAAATTCAGAAATAAATTTTAGAACTGCTCTTTAGATTGAAGCCTTCTGTCATTAGAATTAATTATACAAAATAATTGGATATATATAACAGGGCAATAGGAGTCAAGCACGGTAATTTTTGTGCAAACCAATACGGTTAACAAAACAACTTTATTAATAATTAATCCGCTTACATGTTTCGGCTCACTTTTGAGCCATCCTCAGAGACAATATAATGTAATTACAAAAAATTTTTTTACAAACTAATTTCAGTGAGGCACCTCCACCTATTAACAGAAATTATAATATAAAAACGAATTCTATTAATGATCTAAAATGTATTAAAATTAATAAAAGGTAAATTTGGTGGAAGCAAAAACGATTTATTGTAAAATAACAGAAGGTAGCTCACTAAAACAAAAATTCACCATATCGCAAACACTTAAATTCTATACACCTATTAACGAAAACGATAATATAAAAACGAACTCTAATAACAATATAAAATGCATTAAAATTATTAAAAGGTAGATTATAGGAAGCAAAAATGATTTATTGTAAAATAGAAAAGGTAACTCAGTAAAACAAAAATTCACCATATCGCAAACACTTAAATTCTATCGGTTTAATCAAAAACCAGTCTTTGACCACAGATTCGCTGAATGAGCTACCTCCTATTATTTTACAATAAATCATTTTTGTTTCCTACAAATTTACCTTTTAATAATTTTAATACATTTTAGATTGTTATATCCAACCATTTTGTATCATTAAAGAGTCTTTAGGAATTAATTTATATTTAGAATTAATTATACTTTCCAAAGCAGACAATTTACGTTTAGAAAACATTTAACCGTTTTTATCGAGGGGGTAATCACTTAATGTAATCGTGGGACAGAAGTCCTCGAAATCATTATAAAATTCATATTAAATTTCTATGTATAATCCAATAATTACGTATGCAACCACGATAAATCATTGTATAATGTTAAATAAATTCGTATATTTTACCAAACGACTTCATATGTAGCGAAAAGAATTATTTGTAATCAGATGAAATCATATGATGTCATGTAATCTGTGGAATATTTCAGCTAGTGGTTACCCCCTCGGTTTTTATAGTATATAAAAATATATAAATAGATGTTATAAATATACGTTTATTAAATTGTCAACGTTACAACGTTCTTATAACGTTGATTAAATAGTTAAAAATATAAAATTTCAAACATTTATTTTTTACTTTATATACGATTTTTATTTTAGACATTTTTACGATTACACATTTTTCTTTTATTATACGTCTAAGCAGAACATTCTGTATAACGAGTATACCGACATATTCTTTTCTTACAATATTTATGCCTAGTCATGATGATGACGATGCAAACTCATGTATCATCTGGTCTTTCTTTCTCTCTCTCTTTTTGTTTCGTTAGACGTTCACGTTTGTCATACAATGCGAACATTGTTACCATTTTAGTTACCAAAAACTGTTTGGTTTCTTAACCACGTGTATACACACTTGCCACTGATGTGCAACCATGTGCAACGTACGTATGTGCGTGCGTGCGTACGTACGTACGTACGTACGTGCGTGCACACGTGCATGCATGACGAACGGGTAAGTGACCGCGAGTGATCGCAGGTTTACGATCAACAGTCAGATGGTGTATGACGTGATCGAGATCGGAGTGACGCAATAGAATCGCTTATCGGTGTTTACACGGAAATAGATTGATGTGTCTGCGATCAACTCGATTTCCGCCGATCGATGTAATCACGCAACGCGTGCTAATTTTATATTCTGATCGATGTAAACACCAGCTGGGTTTTGTATTCTTGAATTGGCGTCTGGCCGCGCGTCTACTAAAATTTCCCACTATCACAGCTCTTGTCCACAATTACGATGCATCGAGCTCTCACGCAGCAATCGATGTCACTGCTTAAATAATATTACGTCATATCTCGAGAATTTACGTGTGCTTATGTAAGACAAAAAAATTTTATTGAACGTGTGGACTCAAGTGATCAACAAAATCTTTTCAAATATCTTTTAATTTAAAAAAAATTAAAAATCTTTTTTAGTAATGTATATTATATCGAAAGTTTATCCGGAGAATGCGTCCAATTGCAAAAAAATATAAAAAAATAATTACTTGACAAGGTGTAAAAACTGATTATTTAATATATTATTTCAAGCGTAAAAAAATCGAAATATGATTGAAAGATATAAAAAGAATCTTAAAAAGCAATATGTTTTTCAGCATGCTCAATATTTTGCAAAGTATTTATGCTTCAGATATATTATTTTATTTCGTATACTAAAATCTGTTGAATAAAAGATGTGGAATGGAGCGGGAATTTCTAATAATACCTACAAGTTCGTAAAATGACATAACGCTGCCTCAGATGAACGCTTCAATTGATGACCACAAAAGCGGCGTGGCCGGGCTTCACTACACCACTGTAAAAGGCGTGAAGTGCCCGGAAATGATGCTTACAATGGCTACAAAAGCCACTTTACAAAGTTACCGCGTAAGTGCTACCATAAAATCTATCGGCTTTTCTATGCACTTATGAAAACGTGCTTTAACTGAAGATGTCCGTATTTTTATATTCTGCACGTATAAGATACATGCAAAATTGTTAGGAAAAATGTATCATTCAAAAGCTTCTGTCTGTATATTTTATTAAGTTATTAAGTACAAGCAAATATTAACCCTCCACCAACAATGTAAAATTTTCAATCCTAGTATGCAACCTTAATCATTCTTCTTCAATTTCGAATATATTTCATAAATTATTATTATTATACGTATATGTCTGATATATCTCTATAAATGTTTATTTCACAATTGCATCAGTAAAAAAAATGATATAAAACCTGAAAGAGCTATTTTTAAAGTGAAATCTTTATATATTTATTGAAATTAGGGTTAAAAAGATACAAAACACAAAAAAGAATTCAAATTTATTTCCACAAAATTTTATGAAACATAAATAGCTGAGGGCACAGATATGACTTCTATTTGTCTTTTCAACGAAACAAACAACTGGATACTGGCGTCCTTGTACAAACAATTTCATTATCAAGTTTTTTTAGAACGCGACTGATTGTGAGTCTCGCTATCTATCTATTTTCTTAAAATTCACTGCAAAAAATTAATGTGTCTTAAAAAATCCCACATTGCGATGGAGGGTTAAATATAAAGTTATTAAGTACAGATACAAACAGTTTCTTTCATTTCTGCTACAGCATACAACTTCAATTGACTGATCTAATTTGGCGTATGTATCTCCAAGTGTATTATAACGATATTTTTGTCGCTTTTATCGGCCACTTTGCGAGACACTTTTAGTTTGGCACACAGCATGCAACTCGTTACTTTTGATGATACCGGCTAATCTATTATAATTAGACATTTTACGTCAAAGTATATTTATCGTAAATATTTAGCGAAACCTCTTGAACCTTTCAATGGTAATGCGTATTCAAACGAGATACACAAAATCGCATCTAATCTAATCGTCTAACGTCAATATTTTTTGCAACGGAGAGCAGTAAAACTGTTGAGGTAATTTATAAACAGCTCACATCTCAGTATGCGAGTTACGATCGTTGGGGAAATAAACATGAATCTATAATCGCTCTGTTCGCCAAGTGTAATAAGTTCATTATCGAACATCCGGTATGTACCAATTATGAAATGCGGTTTGATGATGTAAATATTGTATGACTCGTAATATAATATTTACGTTAAATATTTTACATTTATTATATGTATATAGATGTAACAATTTCGACGAGTTTATCTTCTATATTTCAAATTTCTACATTCTGTGATGACAAAGATGCTAATTAGCGCGCTGAAGGCACGTTGCTTCCTCAGCAAGATCGCTGAATATTATGGCGGATTCGATATGCGTCCATAATTAGAAGCGTATCGCGGTACGCGATTAAACGAGATACGGTGGAACTCCGTTTATAGCTTTTAATTTGGTTGTTTATACTTTAAAAAATGTAGATGCGGATTTAACACCATGAGTGTTAAATATAATTTTTGTCTTGATGTTAATATAAACATAGATATTTCACACCATGGCCTTAAACCATAGTGTTAAAAATTCACATCATATTGGTGTTTATATCAATATTAATAAAGTAAGAATTATATAAGCACCACATGATGTTAAAATCCACCCCATGTTAGTGTTTTATGTCAACATTAATTATACGAGATGCCCCGGATTTTTCATATTAACTTTGACGGTATGATCTATGAGTTGAAATAAGAAAAAAATGTTATATAAACATAGGTCTTCAAACGCTTTATGAGCAAAAAAATGAGCAAAAAATATAAATGTGTAAAAAACAAATTTACCTAAGTTTTTATTTCGAATTGCCGTCTGCCCAAGTCAGTACAAGCTTCGAACCGATATAATTTTTAATTTATTACCTTTTTTGCGATACAAGAAATTTTCCTGTATATGAAGACTTCTCGCAAAAAAGATGATAAATTCAAAATTGCATCGATGCATCTCAAGATTGTATTAACACGAGCGGACGACAATTTGAAACGCAAACTTAGGTAAAATTGGTTTTTTTTTATATTTTATATTTTGGTTGTAACTTTTAATAAAAATATTTAAAGAACTTTTTTCTTGTTTCAGCCGATAGCTCATACAATCAAATTTGTACGAAAAATCCGAGAGGGAAGAGAGAGAGAGAGAGAGAAAGAGGACATTTGCATAGACATTGTTGGTGTTAAACCTACATCCATATTTTTTAGAGTGTACGCGATAATCGGCGCGTTTGCAGAGACCATGCCCAGCGCACGCTCGTACGCACTCGAGTGCGTGCGTGTCTTCGAGTATGTACATACATCGTGGGACGCGACAATTTTCATCGGCGTGTCGCGATAATAAGTCAATTACGTCGTGCTACACGTGACGATTGACGCAACGCTGACGCAGCCGCGTGCATTTCGCGTGGCCACGACATCGGGAGTCGGCGGGATCTGTTTGAAGTCACAATCGACACGCATGCCGCACATTTCCGCGTTTTTTGTCGAATTGCTCGCGTTTACCCGAGGGGAGCCCGACAAACCGTGCCGCGATCAAGGTAATCGCGCGGTTGATAATGCGGGCGCTGCGCAAACAGGAACAGGACTCGCGCGTCATAGGCGCGATATGACTCATTAAAAAGTTCTGGTGATTACACGAACGAAAAGAGAGAGAGAGAGAGAGAGAGAGAGAGTGAGAGAATAGCCCGTAGAGAATCTATTCATCGGAATACGACTCGAGCGGTAATGTCGTAGAAGCCTACCGCATAACGGAAGAAATCCGGTTTTCGCCGAAATTATACGAATAGTTTTACCAGCGGGCGGCGCAATTTCTTCGGTTTAGGACATGATTTTTTCCTATTCTAATTGAATTTTTCCGACAAATATATAAACAAAAATTACGAGAGAATTGAATCAAATACGAAAAATTTTCTCATTTAAATATATTTCCTTATTTGAATCTTCATTTCTTGTATTGTTGTATCAAAATTTTTACTTTACAGATATTTTAGTTGACAGACATCATAAACATTTAATATAATTGATATAATTGAAAAGAACATAATTTATTAATTTAACATTACGTTAAGAATAAATTAATGACGGATGTTTATGATATCTGGCAAAGTTCTATAAGTATTTATACAGTTTCTTCACTTTTTATCATATTATGCCTTATGTATGTTCGTGGCTCCAAGGCTTGCGACTATTGTGTTCTGACGTAAATGGTAATTAAAATCCCAGCCGCTGCGGGAAAAATAGTATTGCCAGAGTCTCATTATATATATATAAGAATAAATTTTCGTTTTTAAAATACATAGTTTAATTTATGGATATTACTATAATATAATTTATGAATTAATGCAAACGTTAATGTTAAATCGAGCAGACAAGATTTGCATTAACGATATTAATTGATCAATCGCTATTTAGACTTTGGAAGCACTTTTGCGATGAAAAACATGGATATTTATATTTTATTTTCCTAGGACGGATCTGGAGTCAGATGAATATTTCGATGAACTCTTTAATATTTTCCTTTTGAGAGAACAACCTGTCAGGTATGTTCTGTCGTTGAATAAACAATTTAAGATTATTTTAATCTACTAATTTTCGCAAAGTGTAACACCGTTACTACAAGATTTTATTAATTTCATGTGTTTGGCGTAAGTCGTAATATCGCCGATTAAAAAAAACTCAACTAAGTTGAAATTTGTTTTCAATTAATTTTTCATTTTTTTAAGCTTTCCTATCGTATTTGCATGTTACATAATACTTCACACATTTAAACATAACGACGCTAGAATCGATAAACGCTTCTTAAAACTTTGCAAATGAAGATTAACGACACTTATGTTCGTCATATGATAACCATGACGACAAAATAACGGCTAGCACAGGTTCAAAGCCGGATTTTAATTTTATTCATGCTCCTAAACTCCATCTTTGTTGCATAATATAAATGCGCGAAATCCGGATTGCGGGAAAAATTAATGTTTAGTTAAATATCCGCTTTAACGGAATGAGATTTAAATATCCGCTTTAACGGAATGAGATATTCCTATTTTTACAGAGAGAAGCGGGAACCTACGCCGGGAGAAGGAGTTGGAAACAACGGAATACAAATGGTTCAGTATGCTATGCCAGAGAGAGGTACTCTGAAGTCATTGTCAGCTCAGCCACCAAGTCCGAATGATTCCCTATCGCAAAGTCCAAGGTATAGAGATTTACTCAATATAATAAATATCCAGTTTAGAGCCTAATCTATAATGTGCTCTTTGCTTTCTGTTTCTTATACTCTTTATCTCTTGACTCTTTTCCGTTCTTGCGATCGTTTTACTGACGATCATGTTTCTTGTCAAGTGTTTTTTGTCTTTTCCGAAGTTCGTCAACGTTTATCTCGGGCGACAGAAACGAAGAAACAGGTTTAGGGACAAAAAGGCAGAGATAAAAAGTGATAAAAAGCAAGAAACAGAAAACAAAAAGCGCACTATATGTATAGATTAGGCTTAATTCTTTACAAAAAGAGCTTCGTTGCAGATGACAGATCTTGTTTGTTAGAAAATTGTCGCGAATCGCGAATTTTTCATTGGAACGGATGAAAAATACAAAATAAAATACAAATACGGGCCAGAGGGGGGGGGGCACACATCATCGTGCATCTTTTTACAACGAAATTCAAATGCGTGCAAATGTGATACCGGTTTCGATTTCTAGAAATCTATGAGCGTGAATAACATTTGATGAATATTCAAGTCATTATTGGAATCTCTTTCTCGAGATCCTGTTTCAGATAAAATATAAAAATAAAATCATCAGAGATTATCTCGTTTATTACGTAGATGGCATAGAGCAGGACATCATTTCTTAGGAAGAGAACACTGTGTATGCGCGCAACTTGCAAGCAGATTCATTAATCAAAATGCTAACGTACTTTACTACTGTACGGTAATTATTTCCAGTAAAATACACTTCAATGCAATCGCATTGCGAATCTATTACGTGGAAGTCGTAAAAAGCCATTCGTATAACCGAGTGAATTTTTCTTCACTTTTTACAAGAATTTAAATTACGCAAGAGCATAATTGCAAACATATAGTAGCTATATACTGTTTATATAGAACACTTTTGATTACTTCACTGATGACGACAAAGTTTTAAAAGACTTTTAAAGAATCTAAACATTTAAAGTATAAAGAATCGATAGACATTGTTAAAAGTTAAAAGAATTTGAAAGATTTAATAAGTTAAGAGAACTTTTTACTCACTAGTGTCTCTTAAATCTGTATTATACTAAGTAATGTTTGGAGATCGAAGATTACAAATTGGAGATTAGAATTCAACCAATCAGAACAGATTAAAATTAAAATTATCTGATTAACTATTCGAATTCTAATCTTCAATTCGCAATCTTCAATCTCCACAAGGCCGGAATCAGACTACGCATTGAAGAATGAGATTGAAGATCGAAAGATTGATGTGTGATCAATCAGAACAAAAGGAGCTAAAATTTCTTTGTCCTCATTGGTGAAATTTCAATCTTTAATCTTTAATCTCAATCTTCAATGCATTGTCTGATTCCGGCCTAATATGACATAGACTTAAGAGATATCAGCAAGTAAAAAGCTCTTTCAACTTTTATGAACACGTAGTAATATGACGTCGTAATATTACACATTTCTCTGTAATCCAAGCGATGGTTCGGTATGACAGTCCATTTTTTAAATATTAGCTAATATTAACTAATATTAACTAATAGTGTTTTCGAGTGCAGTGGGTTTGAATCTAATCCAGGTCGGTTAACTCGAAAATACGACCTCATTCAATCAAAAATCAAAGAGTATACGACGTTAATAATTCGATCTGGGTTGAATTCGAAACCACTGCACTCGAAAATGCTACAATATTTTTAATATAAATTTTCTAATATTACTTTTAAGAATCTCCGGTGAACGCTGCAATCCATATATTCGTCCAAATCCGCCGCCCTACGCCGGACCAAGCAACTTGTAAGTATTTCCGATCACGACTTTTACGTACTTACGTTCTAAATCCTAATCCACGTATTACGTATCCGGTTTTGTTTCGTGTTCGCAGTGCCGGTCTACGCGCCGATTTCTGACTACACGAGCAGCCCGCGAAAACCTGGTTCTGCTAAGTGAAATATAATTCGCGGGCGGCTTTCAACTCGACGTTCCGAGAAAGGTATGAGCCGAGTATTGCAAACTCATCGAAACCAGCTCCAAATTTGCAAGTTGAATCACATCAAATACGCACGTCGCTTATTATCGGTAACCATAAACACGTATTGCGTCACGCCTTCCGAGCAATATATCAGCGGTTTGTGTTACGATACATTAAGTGTTCCCTCTGGGAAGTCGATTTGCGTTTAAAAAATTTTTCGGAATTTACAATTCCAATAGAATAGAATAGAATAATAAATAGGATAGAGAGATGCGTTGCGATTATATAGGACAGCATTCTTTCGAGCAGCATTGTGTCCAATAACTTACATTGTAACGATAAAATAAATATTGTTATGTAAAATGAAGAATAACGTATGAGATTATTATACTTTATAATAACTGTAGTGAAGTTCATATCTATGAAATAAATGTGTAACACTATAGAAACATTGTGCTTTAACATTTGCTCTCATATTGATAGGCAATCGAAAGTGGAATTATTTATTTCGTTAACAATGTATAATAATATATTCTATAAAAAAAATAACTTTTGTAAGTATTCTGTTCAGAAAATTGTACTTTATAACGATTTTAGTAAAAGTTGTATTAAAGAAATAAATGTGTAACACTAGAAACATTGTGTGCTTTAATATTTGTTCTCATCATGACAATAAGTAAACAAAAATGGAATTATTTCAATATTTTAACAATATATATACATAATATATAAATTCCATGAAAAAATAGCTTTTACGTTCTGTCCTTGTTGGCTCTAAAGGGAACCGAGTAATTAACGTTTACTTAGAAGATAAACATTACTTGAAGAATTAAGAATCGTTCGTTAAAGCGGTCATTAAAATCATCTTGACGTACGAACGTACAATTATTATGTTCAATTATCTGCATTACGATAAAATATAATATTGTGTAACATACTTTAAATTGTACTACTTCGTAATAACTGTAGCAAAATTTGTATTGAGGAAATAAATTACTAAAAATGTTGTGTTTTAATATTTGCTCTCATATTAATAATAGAAAATAAAAAATGGAATTAATTCTTTTGTTAACAATATATAAATTCCATAAAAAATAAATTGCGTTTTGTTCTTATCGGCTCCAAAGAGAAACGAGTAATTAAAGTTCACTTGAAAGAAAAACATTATTCGGCGAAACTAAGAATAGTTTATCGTTCGCTAAAACGGTCATTAAAATCGTCTTGACGTACATACCTCGATTAGTCGCAATGGTTATTAATCTTCTACCGGACACCATGTTTGGAAAAAATAGATTGGTTGCGAAGAATCTGCGGGGTAGGACGGGAATTTGGAATAAGAACGAGATACGAAAGTGTGGATCTGTAAAGGATATAAAAGCATGGATGAGAGATTTTTTTCGCTCATGGCTTGTGCGGACGATCGAAAGCTAACCTTTCACTTTCCAACGGAGAATTCTTCAAGGCGGACAGTCGCGGGAGAGACGCGAGAGATTCAAATTTCGATGCGGCACTGGCGAACCCGGCGTTTGTTTACGTTCTCAACCTGATCCAACCCAGCCTGACGTGACGCTGAACAGGGGCGCGCATGCGCCGCGCGTCACCGCGTATCCACGCTTGCCCAGCTATTCAACAGGAGCGCTCGACGGACGGAGTCTCGTGCGTCGTGCGTGTATTGTGATTATCGGCGTTTCGTGATCGCGGCGAGATTCGGCAGATACAAGACGAGGTCGCGTGTCGAGGAGGCAGAACTCGTCGCACACGCGAGAACGCGAGTTCGACCAATTTCGAGCCGCGCCCTCCGCCCTAAGAGTCATGGCTGGTATCGTACCACTGTCTGGTAGATCCGGCAGAAAACAGTGGACGCTTCACGGTAATCATTGCCGGGGTGGCTCGGGGGAATGTGAACGCACCCGGGGATCGCCTGGGCGAGGACGCGTCCGACTTCACGTTTCGAGACGCGCACGTCATTCGCAATAAAAACTGCGCGATATTTGACGCGTTTCTGTACCTGTCTCTTGAACGGACAAGTGTGAATCGTCAAACAATGGAAATTGTCTCTGACAGATCTCCATTTCGCATTGCGAAATTAAATGAATCGCGGAATTAAACGATTTACTAATTAATCTCTTGTTAAAAATTGCTCTTATTTTAATATCAGTATCAATAAAGACATGTCATTAATTGCCTATTGATATGTAATTATCTATATGTATTACATTGACAAAAATTGTTCATTTAATTAAATTGTTTATCTAATTAAATTAATTTAGGTCGTCTTTTTATTTCTTTCGTTGAAGGATGTATGTATTTAAGTAAGAATAAAACTTTGAAAATCAGTAAATAAAATGTGTATTGAAATAGAATGATACAACAAGAACAATACATGAAGTTATCATAAAGCAATATATATATGAAACTTGTAAACTGTCAATTGATATATTTCATATATGTATATATATGAGACATCATCTGACAGTATAACACATATATGTTATATGTGATATACATATATGTGTTGACACAATGAACATGAATTCTGATTAGTTTTTTTTTCTGATTAAATAGCTAATTCTAAGTCCTATTGATAGATGGGCCTAAAGGTTCTCTTAGACGTTTACGTTCTCGATTGGCAGAAGACGGCTGTCCAGAATCTCAAGTAATTTTGGCTAAACAGTTGTTAGAGGAACAATGTGGTAAGTCGGAATATACGCTCGACAGCAAAGTTTTTCTCATGTTATCCATTATTTCTAGACATACATATATAATTTATATCTATATTTCTCTAATATAATTGAATTAATTTAATTTAATTTATATAATTATGTTCCTCTCTGTATGTAATTTATAACTATATTTATAATTATGTTTTAAGAGCTTGATGTTGATAAAGAAGAAAACGCAAAGTTGGGTGTTTACTGGCTGACAAAGGCCTCGGAGCAAGGAAATTTAGAGGCGACTGATATTCTCAGAAAGTGCTTGGCAACTGGCCGTGGTATCACGGAGCATAACTATTACGACGTAAAAAGTTGTCTAGACATGACACAGGATGAGAAGTTGGCTAGAAGAGCGGCGAGGGAGATGTTTATGAGGTAAAGAACAAGTAATTAGACATTAAGACTGATAAATAAATACCACATACCATATATATATGAATATAAAATTATTATTTCATCAGTTTATCAAATGGTGAGGACTTCATAACTACTGAGCAATTACAAAAACGTATGAGGAATTTATCGTCTCCATCAACCAGTAATGCCGATTATTTTCAATCAAACAATACCTCCAGCAACACATCGCAAAAGGGATTAAGTGACAACGATAACGATTGCTTCCCCAGAAATGGGTTTCCTGACGATTCCCCACCTACGAAGGATGAAGATCGAATAAACGACGTTCATGGTAAAAGAGATTTTCAATATGTTAAACTACACTGTTTTATGAACAAGTCAAATAAAATAGAAACGGATCAAATACAAATTCAAGGCTAGATCTTGGACCTAATAATATTTATATGTAAATTTTAAATATACACATCCTATTATATAAATTGTGCGCCGATTACTGTCGAACTTCAAATGCAATCTTATTGCGAAAAATATTATCCTGAGTCTTCGCAGTGTTTTAAGGTGTTTATTAGCATCATTATTAAACTGACAATTAATTTGTGAAATTGTTATTTCAGCTTCAGTTTATGATTGCGTTTTAATGACAGTAATTGGTGTCCAGTTTACATAACTAAAAGATGTATTTAAAATTTACGTATAAATATTATTAAGTACTAAAATCTAATTTTGATTGTATCTGACCCTTATTTTTACATTTTTGATCACTTTTTTTATTGCGTTATTAATGTAAGTTTTGCTCTGCAATCACAGGTTGGACGGACCAAGGTGAAAAGATCACAGAGGCTGCTCTAGTATCTGCGGCTGCAAGCTATGCACGCGGAATGCTTCCAATAGTGTCACATGCTCTCTGCATGGTGGATCCTTCCGAATTGGTACTGGATACGATACCGCTGCTGCAGAGGCCATTTATTCATCCGTTTGCATCGCTAAAACGTCTCTACAGTTGGTTGGTTGAGACTTTGGGTCACAGAGGAACGTCGATCAACAGAGTTCTTTTTACGTCAAATCTACATATTCTCTTGTTACTGTTACTATACTCCTTGTTCGGCACAGAAAGTCTAATACTTTTTATACCGATGGCTCTCTATTATCTCTCATTTGTAGTCATGGTGGTAGCTACCTTCCAAATGCTTCAACGGAAACGCGAATTTAATGATTTCCGCGTGTGGTCAGGCCTATTTCTTAGTTACTCAGGCGGAAATCTGAATCCTGAGGAGGCAGAGTATCAATTCTGCCGCAACAACCTGAAACCGTATGGACATTTCTTTCTCGCGTTGCTACTCAATTTGATGATCTATCCTCTGATAGCTCACCAATGGACTCCACAATCTGAAATCACTATAGTAGCAGTCACGCTCACTCTTATCACACTGTGTAGTTTCATGTGGAGAGACTCTTCGCGGTTTCCCGATTTTCTAGCCCTCTTCAGCTTCGGCGTGCATGTACTTGCTAAGTATCCTTACGAGACGGACATGGTTGTGGCGCAAAGTTGGAGATTCTTGGACATCAGAGTGCCAACATTCGCATCTTACGTTGTCGGCAATGGTATAGAGTTTTGTTTAAATTTCCGCGCTGTATTTTACCTCTTGATACCAGCGGTCTTTGCGAAAATGGCTGCAAGGGATGGCTGGCGCGGCACATATCGGATTTTAATACCTCATTGCGTTACTCTGAGTTGGTGGCAAATAGCAATCTTTAGTTCTCAAGGTGCAACATGGTACGGCTTGATAAGAGGCGCTCTCGCATTAGTTGGCATGGTTCTATTTCTTCCAATTGCCGGTATTGCTTCCATCATTTTACCAATCGTAGCTATTGCCAAATACTTGTCAGAAAATGATCTGGCCATGAGGATAGCGATTACTACTGTACTCGGAGGAATGCCATTTTTTGCTTCATGGTATCTGAGGAAGACCAGAACGTCAAGATTTAATTGGGTCATTACACTCATGCAAGTACGTATATTGTCATTTCTTCGTCTTCGACTTAGATATACTTTATATATTTATAATGTATATTTATAATGTGTATGTATGTATGTCTTGTATATAAAATTATATAAATGTTTTCTATAGATTGTTCTTGGCGTTAGCGCTGCGACATTTTTATCGTGGCCGATGATAATGGAATATAATCAGGATTCCGATGAGGCGTATGACATTGTTTCTACTTTAACATGGGATCAATATCAGAACTACTGTCATCAACCTGCGTGGGAAGAATTATCGTCGAAAGCGCAAGTCCAGGTGCAATGCGCTCAATTGGAAGGCATGCCCGTCTCGTGGGAAGGCTATGTGACAAATATTAGAGTAAAATCGATAAAGAACAATATTGCAGTTGTATTAAACAAGTTGCC